GTCTGTGTGTCTCTTCTTTCACATCTAGTTAACTTTACTTTGTGTTAATGAGACAATCTGTGTTGCTTCACATCATGTCTGCTGTCACTGCTGGTTCTGTCAACACACACACACACACACACACACTTTGACCTGCTTCATGTCAAACTGCTGACTCTATTTCATAAAGCTCGGTTTGTGTTGTGGATCGTCCCACTGCCTGGTTCAGGTGGATCCACTGGCCCGGCCGGTTCTGTGCTTTCAGCACCAGCCGGTTCAGGTTCAGTTAGATCCACTGGCCCGGCCAGTTCTGTCCACACCGTATCTCACTGCAGCCTCTGCTCGGTTTGCTCTGACAGATGCAGCAGCAGGAACTGGCTCAGATGCGACAGCGAGACGCCAACCTCACAGCCCTCGCCGCCATCGGACCTCGCAAGAAACGCAAACTGGACTCACCTGGAGCCACGAGTGGAACCGAGGTACGGTCCGAGTTTATCAGGAGGTTAAAGGTTCCTCGTCATGTCGGTTCTGTCTGTGTGATTTGATAGATGATTTATAGACGTTCATGGTTCTGGTGATTCTGTGTGTTCACGCTGTTTTACAACTTTTCACTGTGAATCTGGGTCCTGTGCTGATTCTGTGCTGGTTCTGTGCTGGTTCTGTGGTTGGTTGATTGGTTGGTGGTGAGTCTCGGTGGCGGCGCTGTGGGTCCAGGTTCTGAGGAACTTAGTGCCTGTTTGTGTTGGTTTGAATGAGTTTGTGATCATTTTGGTCAGTTTGAGCGTCTTTGCAATCGGGCTGGACCAGAATATCTGAATATTCTCCCCCCCCGACCGACTGACTGACCGACCGACTGCACCTGAATGTGCATCTGCAGCCATTTTTGCTCTGAGGAGTGTTTTGGCTTTTTATCTGCCCTGAATCAGCATCACTTTGTGTTCATGGTGCGTCTGTTTTCCTGGTACCAGGTTCTGTGTGGTGTCTCCGTGCGGTGCTGTGTGGGCTCAGACACTCTGACCTCCATCAGCGATGCAGACGCTGGATGTTGTTGAAGGAGGTCAGAGCCTGCCTGGGGGGATGGGGGGAGGGGCTGGCTGTGACTCCGCCCCCTCCCCCCTCAGGGCAGCCATGCATTCACACAGTCACACGTTCATCTCTGTAGGAATAAGCCCGAGGCTGGGGGGGGGGGGGGGGGGCCTGCCTTGTGTTCATCCCCCTCCCCTCCCCTCCCCATCCCATATGCCCCTCCCCCACATGCCCCTCCCCCACCAGGCCAAACAAAGGCTGCATCTCTGGGCGGTCGGAGGCTCTAGTACAGAGTAATCAGATTACTTCAGACAGCAGAGTACTGTCCCTGATGATCACAAACTGCCAGTTTGGATTTACATTGTTACAAATACAGTACAGTAATCAGATTACTTCTACAGTTAGTTCACCTTTTGTTCAAGATGCACAGCAATCAGAAAACAAACTCGAGACTGTTAAGAACCTTCATGCTCGGAACCAGACCTCCAGATTAACATTGGAGAACATCCTCCGGTCAGATGGAGATCCACGTGTTGGGCTCAGATGGAGTCCAGATGTTTGGTGTGAACCTGACCAGGACCTCCCCAGCGGATGCATGGTCCTGGCAGTGAAGCACGGAGGTGGCAGCATCATGATCACAGCTGGGGTCACTTTGGTTCATGGAGTTTCTACCTGGAGCCGGAGTTTATGACAGAGTCATGGAGGAGGCAGAGCGCTGCTCCTGCTGACTCATGTTTGGCCTTCCTGCATTCGTCAGTAAAGATCTGAGCAGAAACCTCACCTGTCCTGTTCTCAGGTGTGTTTATGTGGATCCAGGAGCTTTCATGTGTTAATCACAGAATTACAAATGATGAAGGTGCTGAAACGTGTCGGGCCATGTGGAGCGGCAGCTTTCCCATCAGCCCTCAGACTGAACAGGTGTTGTTTTGTTCCTGTGTGCTGCCAGCGTCCTGAGCGAGCAGGTAGAAGGTTATTGTTGCTCTCATGGAGCTGCTGGGTGTTGCTGCATTCAGGCTGCAGCCTCGGGCCACGGGGGGATCTGCAGCCTGATCGGGCCTGAGCAGCTCCAGGGCAGATCAGACGGAGGAGCTCCCAGCTCACAGTCATCAGAGCTGAGCCGAGGGAGTGGCACCTCCTCACCACCACAAACCTTTTATTTATTACCCCGGCTCGGTGTAACCCGCTGACGTTCAGGTTTCAGCATCAAGTCTGCAGCTCTGTGGAACCAGAACCACATGAAGGAGGAGACCGAACTCAGACTGTCAGCAGAACCATAGACACCAGAGAGAAGATATGCTTCTTTGATTATTTATTTCACAAAATGTGAAAACCCTGAAATCAGCCTGTCCAGCATCTGGGTTGTTCTGGCTCTGTCTGTAACACCACAACAACAACCACCACCACAACAACAACAACAGCCACAAAAACAACAACAACAACAACAACGTGAGCATCCTCAGACTGACTGCTGACATCAGCACATCAGCTGAATGCAGGAGCGTGGAGCTGTGACCCGATGACACACATGACTTCACAGGTTCCAGTCCGAAGTCGTCACGCTGTCACTGTTCTGGTTCCGACTGGAAGAACTGGACTGTAAAGTGAAACTCTGATTCTTGTGTTCAGAACAGATGTTATAATGTTTCTGCTGCAGTTCCACACGGTGGGTTCTGACTGTTTCTGGCTGGTTCTGACCCAGTCACAGAGGCTCAGACAGACGCTGCTGCGTTTCCTCACCTCAGGAAACTCCTGGTTCACACGTCTTGTTCAGCAGTAGAGGCAGCCTGAGGCTTAGAACCGGGCCTGTCGGAGCAGCACCTGCTGCAGGGCGGGACTCACCTGTCCTCGGGCCGCCACACACCTGCCAGCAGGGCGTGGTGATCTGCTGCAGGTCTGGACTCACACAGGATTAAAGTGTGGGAGACGGCAGGCTGTCGGTCCTCAAGACAACCAGTCAGTCTGATCAGCGGCTTCAGGCGGCAGGCTGAACATGAACTAAGTGTTCACGGGTACAGGTCCTCCAGCAGGTCCTCCACCAGGGCCTCCAGCAGGTCCTCCACCAGGTCCTCCATCAGGGCCTCCATCAGGTCCTCCACCAGGTCCTCCAGCAGGTCCTCCACCAGGTCCTCCATCAGGTCCTCCATCAGGTCCTCCATCAGGTCCTCTATCAGGGCCTCCATCAGGTCCTCCATCAGGTCCTCCATCAGGTCCTCCATCAGGGCCTCCATCAGGTCCTCCACCAGGACCTCCATCAGGGCCTCCATCAGGTCCTCCACCAGGACCTCCATCAGGGCCTCCATCAGGGCCTCCATCAGGACCATTTAGAGCAGAAAGCTGCATGAAGTTAGTCGGAGACTGAAGGGCAGCAGATTTATATCTAAATATATTTAACATATTAATTTAAATACTAACGATGACACGTGTGATGCTGGTGCTGCTGACACAGATTTAACAAGTGAATCAGTTAAATTGTCACTGTTCAATCACACGTGATGCTAACTGCTAGCGTTTGGAGCTATCGCTTCTAGCCTAAACCGTGTTTAGCATGAGGTATGTAACGTTAGCCTTAACAAGCCGAGGTTAGCAATAAAATATATTAGCCTTAACAAGGTAACATTAGCTACTATGTTAGCCTAAACAAGGTCACGTTGCCCTACATTAGCCTAATCAAAATAACATTAGCCTAACAAGGTAGCATTAGCCACTATGTTAGCCTAAATAAGGTCACATTAGCCCGTACATTAGCCAAAACAAAAAAATGTTAGCCTAACAAGGTAACATTAGCCACTATGTTAGCCTAAATAAGGTCACGTTAGCCCCTACATTAGCCTAAACAAAATAACATTAGCCTAACAAAGTAGCATTAGCCATTGCAAATCAGGTAATAGGCGACATTATATTGCCATAAACAAAATAATGCAAGCCCAACAAGATTACATTAGCTTTTATATTAGCCTGAAGAAGATGATGTTAGGCACTATGTTAGCCTAATCAACATAATGTTAGCCTAACAAGATAAAATTAGCCTCTTCATTAGCCTAAACAGGATAGTGTTAGCTGCTGTGTTAGCCTACATAATCAACATAACGTTAGCCTAACAAGATAACATTAGCCTAAACAAGATGGTGTTAGCTGCTGTGTTAGCCTAATCAACATAACGTTAGCCTGAACAAGTTCCTATAAGTCAAATACACCAGTATTATATTAGGTACATGCGCTAGTGTACAGAAATCCTTTTACAAATCTCTAGTAGTACTTTTACACATCAGTGTGTTTTCAGTCTGGCTCAGAGTCCAGTTTTAGGTACCAGACTGCTTCTTATTTTGTTCTATTTTACTTAAATTTTCCCTCTAACGCCGCTCCGTCTCCTCTTCAGGTGGCGTCCGGTTCTGGCTCGGCGTCCTCGGCGGCGGCTTCGTCCCGCCAGCAGCTCCGTCAGCGGATCACGCGAGTTAACCTCAGGGACTTCATCTTCTGTCTGGAGCAGGACCGCAGCACGGCTCGCTCTCTGATGCTCTACAAGGCTCTGCTGAAATGACCCGGTTCTGCTGCTGGTCTCCTGCAGAACCTTCAACACCTGGACCCTCAACTCTCACCTCCACGTTTCTTTGGACAGGACGTCTCATGTCGGTTCGTCCGGTTTCAGGTGCACGTTGCCTTCAGCTGCAGCTGGTAAAGGAGCACGCCGCCACTTTCAACGTTACACTCCTTAGATGGTAAAAGCTCCAGAGTTCTACCGCCGACTCACACCGGTTCTGGGGTTCTCTGTTGTTCTGGTACCTGCCTCTGTGTTTGTTCGTCGTTAGGTGTCATTTAATTCGATTAAAAAAAATTTATTGAGGAGGACCGAATGGGATTTTTGTGANCTGTCTGTCTGTCTGTCTGTCTGTCCACAGCAGCAGCAGCAGCTCTGATCTGATCCCACTGATCCAAACGGAGATCAGAACCCTCCAGCTGAGACTCTGCAGATCAGCCTCTGACCAGACTTTGTGCATGAACACATTGTACATATCTGTGCTCACATTTCTTCACGTGTGGTCGATTTTAACTTTAACACTTTGAAAATGAGCCAGATCTGTGGAGAACCTGTTCTCATGGATAGGGGCAACGCCACCCGCCAGACTCCATTACGAAATCTCAACATTTAATGTGTCCTTGCTGATCTCCACACGGAATAAGCCGTCTGGTCCCGATTTAATATGTTTTTTCAACAAAGTGCGACCTTCTGGTTAATTCGGGATAGAAACAGGCACTGATGCAACATGATAAGTTTCGATATTCTTTGGTTGAAGCCCAGAACCACACAAGTCGCTACCAGCCGCCCAAAGCAAGTATTGGTCGGTTTAAAAATGGCAGAACGGGCGGGCTCAAAGGAAAAGTTCCGGTTTTATTGAAAAATGTTCTGTTTGGGATCATTTGGTGTTTGCTGAATTTAACACCGTGTCGTGTTATTCACAGAAAATGTAATATTCCGTTATGCTGGTGCTGCATTTCTTCCCGGTACCAGCGAACACTTAAAACGGGAGTTCTTTCAATGGAGTTTCGTCGCTTTCAGACCGGAGCGTCGAAGCTCGTCGAGCCCCCGAAGACTGCCTCGGAATATCGAGGTTTCCGGTTTTAAACTTACAAACTCTGAACAAACCCTCACCTGTCCGCACCTCTTACCTGAGAGGACACCGACACAGAAGACATGGAAGCGGCGTGTGTGAGCTCCGTCCCCGCTGCAGATCTCCGGGTCGCGGCTGCTTCTCCTCCCGGTGAGAGCGCGTCTGAGGCGGGGGAGGAGGAGGAGGCTGAGCCGCTGCCCGGGGCCCTGCGGACCCCCGGGGGCCGGGATTAGCTCACAATAGGCGGCGGCTTGTTCGCTCCTCTCGCCCGGACTCGTGTGTGAGCCGCGGGTCCTCGGGCCGCCAGCAGGGATCAGAGAACGGACGTCAGAACCGGCAGCAGAACCGCAGCCCGCTGTGGCGCCCGGTGCCGGCCTGGTGCTGGGAGCCGCTCTCCCCCTCCGCTCCGCCGGTTCAGAGCTCCAGCCCGCCCCGGAGCTCCGGAGCCGCTGCCGCCTCCGTCACGCTCCAGCCGCCTGCGGCCAAATGCGCCATTTCAATTACTGCGCTCGGCTGGATGCGGAGCTGCGCCGGGAGGCTGCGCACTGAGCTCCCCGCTCTGCCGCCGGTCCGGCCGCCGGCAGGACCGGGGTTCGGCCGGGGTTCGGGTCCGCTCAGCATTTGGTGGCGGCTGCTGGCTGCCACCGCCTCCCGGACTGCAGCCGCCTCACTGCGGTCTAATTTAACCATCCGCTGCTCCGACACACAGCCCCGAAGTAACGAAGTACTTTTACTCTAAAGTGTACTCGAGTATCAGTCCGAGGCTTTCCCTCATTGATCTGAGATCAGCTGTGAACTGCCGCTCGGTACCATTCTCATCCCGGTTCTGTTGATTCACAGTAAACTGATAAATAACTAAATGAGATTCTGCTTCAGCTCAAATATGATTAAACAGAACAGAAGAGTGACGCATTGATGCATCAGTAGTCAGAGAAATAATCACAATCATCATCATCATCATCATCATCATCTTCCTGCGTGGAGTCTCCATGTTCTCCCCGTGCAGCGTGGGTTCTCTCCGGGTTCTCCGGCTTCCTCCCACAGTCCANGGAGTGCTCCTTGGTGCAGGTGAGCTGAAGGTGTGACGTGCAGCTGAACTGGACTCTGCTGTACCTGAACAGGTGCCTTCAGTCTCCTTCTGGTTCCGTCTCGCTGCTCGTTGCCTCTCAGGACGCCGAGCTGCTCGGTTTCATTTCTGCTCACGCTCAGATCCGTCAGGTCGCTACGGGCGTGCTCAGTCGCTGCGATGGTCGCGTGGACGCCATTTTAATGTGTGTGTGAGATAATCATGCTGAAAACACTCGACAGACTTGAAAGCTTAAAGGATCAGATCCACATTCAGCTGAATCCTCCTCCTGCCTGCGTCTACAGCTCCTTCTGATGGTCTGCTCTGAGCTCCGTCTGGGTGCGGCGCTGATCCATCCACTGAACGGTCTTCAAGTGACTCAGAACTCGTCTGAAATGATTCAACATTTGTCTAAAATGAAAACCATCTCTTCAAAAATAACCTAAAACTAGAATATTGTCCAAAATGACTGAAAACATCAATCGTGTCATTTTTAAATTCATTTTTAAGCTGCAGCTGTAGATTCATTATGTGAGCAGAAAAATAACCTGAAACTACTGATGATTAAATATTTCTGTTTTTAATTCAAACTGGATCTTCTGTGACATTTTAGAACCAAAACAGTTAATCAGTGAAGACGATAACGATCCCATTAGTGATGTTTGATCGGTTGAGACTCCACGCTGTGGTCGTGTGTTTTGTGTAAACGCTGGACTCTGGGCAGACGGAGAGTTTCCTGGATGTGGTTTTGTTCTTGGACAGACAGGAGCTGGATCTCCAACAGAACTCACTCAGGCTTCGTTCCACGTCAACATTCCTGCGGTTCCTCCTCTTCATCCCCATCATGGCCCATTTAACTTTACTCCCCGATCGATCGACCGTCGCAGCTCAGATCAGTTTGGTTCCCAGTTGAAGGTTTTCTTTGACTCTGCTGGTTCACATGTGGAAGGTTTTTAACGCTTTAATTGTCTTTGTTTGGCCTCCTGTCGGCGTTTGGTTTGTATAGTCTGTAGCTGAAGCGCTAACGATGAACTGTAAAGGTCCTCAGCATCCAGCTCATCTGTGGGAAGGACACGATTTTTGCGACTATTTATATTTCCTACATTCTGTATTCGATCCTGACGCATTTCAGGCAATGCAATTTTACAGTCGTTTGTACCTTTGCAAAAAAAATGAAATAAAGAAAAAATGATAAAGAAGCAGCTTGGAGTGGCTTTTTGGAGGCTTTTTATCAAGACCTGGTCTGTACAAGTGAAAAAGCGACGAGGTGAGCTGACCGACATGGACTATACAGGTTATCAAAAGAATTCAATTACACACGTAGAAAAACAGGCTTTGGTTCATTTCATATAAAATCAATCAAATCTGATGAAGTTCCACCGGACCGCCTCAGAACCAGCTGGGTCTGTATCTACAGGAACTTTACTTTACATCCCATAATACTGAAACCAGGTCCAGTGTTCAGACTGAGACACCTGGATGGATGTAGAACTGATCTGGTGTCAGGTTCTAGCAGAACCCAGATGTGTTCTTCCTCCTAAATGTCATGTGTCTATCTGCTGTACTGATGAAGTTCTGAGGCTCAGAAATGATGGAAAAAGTCCATTAAAGTGATCAATCTGGACCCTCCTCTGTGGACTTCAAGGACCTGGACCTCTGGAACATTCACAGTCTGAAGGTAGAACTCTGGTCAGTAGATAAAGGTGCTGCAGATACAGAACCAGACGTTCTGAGGAGGTTCTAGTTGGAGGCTCTGACTGATTTTTCATGAAATGATCCTTCCAGTTCACACAGATGATCATCACTAATATTTACACACAGCTGGTTTCACGTTGTTCCACCTGCACCTGAGTTACACACTGAAGCCTCTGACAGCTGCTGCAGGTCACCTGTCCAGGTGTGTGACGGTTCAGTCCAGAGGTTCCTGTTTGATCCGGATCGGGGTGCTGCTGATGGACTGGCTGTGCTGCAGGTCGCGACACAGAACGTATTCGCTGAACTGGGACGAATCGACGCCGCCGCCGCAGGATGCCTTCACGACGAAACCTTTCTGGAAGAGACGCTCGAGGACCTGCAGGGACAGCCGGAGGGACAGGTGAGCTCAGGTTAGTTTAGCTTAACTCAGGTTAGTGTAGCTTAACTCTGGTTAACTCAGGTTAGTGCAGCTTAACTCATGTGTTGTAGCTTCACTCAGGTTAGTGTAGCATAAGTCAGGTTAACTCAGCTTGACTGAGGTGAGCTCAGGTGAGCTCAGGTGAATGGCTGTGTAACATCTAATGACAGAGTTTGATTCCCTGGATTTAAATTGACAGCTGCAGAGATCTCATTGGTCTGAATTGTTGTGATGATGCTGCTCGTGTCAGGCTTCCTATTGGATGTTGTTTCTGTTACCTGAGTACTGACCTGCACCGAGTTCAGCCTGCAGTACCCGTTGAGGGGGAACCGGATCACGTGGGTCGGGTCCTGGTTCCAGCCGGCGTTCACAGAGTTGCACATGACGTCTCCAGTTTCGGGGAAGATCTCCTCAATCAGAACCTTCTCCCCGCTCAGAGCAATCCTCTCACCCAGGTCCGGCGTGACCCGAACCACCAGACACTCGCAGGGCGGTGTCCGCTGGGCCTCCCGGTCCGCCTGCCAACGCTCCAACTCCCGGACCATCGGAGTCAGTTGGTAGAACCGGGCCTCCTCGTACAGCTGGGGGAAGTCCTGAGGGGGCAGTACTCGGTTACACTGGGCGGAAATACTCGGATACACACAGTAAAAACACTGTTAAGTAGCTACAAACACTAACAGACTAGTAGGCATGAGGAGAAGTTAGCAGGAGCGAACAGAAGCTTAAGGAACCAAACTAGCTAACAGAAGCTAAAAGCTGTTAAGAGAAGTCAATATAAGCCAAAAGAAGTTAACTGTCACTAACAGGACAGCAGCAGATATTCTTCTTAGAGACGGAGGCTTGTGTTTTCTACTCTGTTGATGGCTTCAGGCTATTAGGAGCTAACAGAAGCTAACTGTGGCTAACAGTATAGCTGCAGTGGATATTCTTCTCTAACTCAGATGAAGGTCTGTGTTTTCTACACTGCTGTTTGGTTAAAGAGAAGCAGAAGCTAACAGACGTTAACAGGAGCTCCTAACAGGAGCTAGCTGTGGCTAACAGGAGCTAGCTGTGGCTAACAGTAAAACAGCAGCAGCAGATATTCTCAGAGACGGAGGCCTGTGTGTTCCAGTCTGCTGATGGCCTCAGGCTAATAGGAGCTAACAGGAGC